CCAGCTGGTGCCTGCGCCGGTGCCCGTGCCCACCCTGGACTCCCCCATTGCCCAGCCCGAAGAGCTGCCCCTGCCCAATGGGGTGGAGGGCACAGGCAAAGTGGAGCCGAGCGAGGAGCAACCCGAGTCGGATGTCAGCCCCATCTCGGAGCCTGAGGAGCCAGTCCAGCCTGGCACCCCTGCCTCCCCCCCGGCAGAGGAGGAAGAGGAGGAGAGCGAAGGCCCTGGCGAGGCCCAGGAGCGGAGCTCGAGCCCGGCCCCTGCCCCTTCGCAGACCTCGGAGGCGACTGCGCAAGGTTGGGGATGCTAAGCTGGGGTGTGCAGGGCTGTGGGGTGCCCCAGGGTGGGTGTTGGGGGTGGGGTCACTGGGGTGCAGTGCTAGGCATGGGGTACGGGGAGGGTATCGGAGAGGAGGATGGGGTTAGGTGACCCAGGATGCGTGGGTATGGGGTGATGAGGGGGGATGAGGTGCCTGTGGATGGCAAGAGATGTCTGGGGAGTGCATCCCTATGCAGGAGTATGGGGTGGGTATAGAGGGGTGTATTTTTGGGCTGCCCTGGGTCATGGGGTGCTATGAGGGAGGTGTGCTTTATGTGATGCCTTACGTGGGGGTGTGGGGTGGGTGTAGTGGGGTTGTACCTGAGGGCTGACCCCAGCTGTCTGGGGACATGGGGAGGTGGAGGGGTGGCAGGGGAGGCGCAGAGCTGCGGGGCTGAAGCTGTGTGGGCCACCCTACATGGGGGTATGCAAGTACATGGGGGTGCCTGGGGAAAGTGGGGTGCCCTGGGGATGTGCTGGGGTGAAGCTATGTCTTTTTTTTTTTTTAAGCACTCAGCACAGGAGTGTGAAGGTTATATAGGAGTACTAGGGGAAGATGGATATACAGGGGATGGATACAGGGGGCTATAGAGGGTGACCTGGGGGCAGATGTGCTTCTGGGGAGCACCTCTGTATGGGGTGGTGTATAGGGGTGCCAGGGAGGGGAACATATATGGGGGTGGAGGTGTGTATGGGGGTGTCCTGCAGAGGGGTGTGGGTGTTTGCAGGGATCCCCTGAGGAGGATGGGGAGTGCTGCGCTAGGGAAGAGGTGTGGTTGGGGTGCCTCAGAGAGGCACAGGGTAAATCGGGGTGCAGTGGCTGGATGGGGAGAGGTGTGAGGTATATCTGTATAGGCTGTATTCTGGGGTGCATGCTTAAGGAGTGGGGTGCTGTGGTGGGCTGTATGTAGGATCCACAAGGTTGCAGATGGCCGGGTGGGTGCACAGCGTGTTTGGGGATGGGGGCTGTGCTGGGGTGGCAGGACCACATCCCCATGGCTCCCCATAGCCCCATCCTGAAGTTCTCCTTTTGTTACTGGGGCCTTGCTGGTGACCCTGGAGCTGGTGTCAGGGTACGTGGGTGACTGGGAGGGTTCCTGTCCTTCACCTCCCTGCCTGTCCTCCCAGTTGCCGTGTCGGTGCCAAAGAAGAAGCGAAGGATGAAGGAGTTGAACAAGAAGGAGGCAGTAGGCGATTTGCTGGATGCCTTTAAAGAGGTGAGTGTCCCAGAAGTGCCTGGGAGTCACCCTGTGTCCCATCTCCTCCTGTGATGAACTCTGCTTTGCGCCATCGTGTCTGGGCCACTGATGCTCTGTGATGGTAATGAGGATCTGAGGGGGAGTGCATGCCTGGGTGCAAGGTGGAGGGGACAGGACCAGGCTTGCGGGGTGACTACTGTCCCTCCTTATGCAGTCTCAGATCAGCGACAGTGCCTCAGAGGTGGAGAACAAGCCCCCCGCGTCCACCCCTGCCCGTGAAACGGAGGACACAGCCCCCGCCCGTCCACAGGAAGAGTCAGAGGAGACGTGGGAGGAGAAGGAGGACAAGCTGGCCCCAGAGAAGGGCAAGGCCGCTGACCAGAAGTATCGTTACAAGGAAGGTGAGCTGTGCCTTTCGCCCAGGCCTCCTCTGGGAGCCACCACCTCTGGATCCAGCGGTGGGGGAGGGTGGGGGTGGCATGGTCCAGATGTCCTAAACCTCACGCTCTCCTCCCATCTTGTCCCCAAGCCTGGCATGGGGTGGCGGATAGAGGCCCTAGTGCTCAGGGTCCTGGCAGGAGGCAGGGTGGTGGTGGCATCAGGCTTTCTGTCTAAGCAAGCAGCGTCGTGCTCATGGCATACCAGGCTGGGGCAGCAGCTCTGTGGTTGTCTACTGGGTGGGCCTGGACCTGCCGCAGCTTTGGGTGGAGGATATGGGACAGGCCACATCAGGGTCTCCCTCTTGCCCCCATGCTGCAGAGCAATGGAAGCCGCTGAACCCTGAGGAGAAGAAGCGATATGACCGGGAGTTCCTGCTGGGCTTCCAGTTCATCTTAGCCAGCATGCAGAAACCCGAGGGGCTGCCCCAGATCACAGATGTGGTGCTGGACAAGGTCGGTGCGGCCCTTGAAATTGGGGCAGTGTGGGTGGTGCCCAGGTGTGGGAATCTGGCTCCTCTTTGTGCCTTGTCAAGGCAGGGCAGAGACTTAGTGCTGTGCTCGGGGTCCTGTTGCAGCGTCTGCAATGAGCCCTGAGCCTAGGGTTGGTGGGGGGGGGCACCTCTGGGACCATCTTTCCAGTTCCTTGTCCCAGCGCTGAGGCTGGGGGATGGATCCGTCCCGCTCCTCTGCCCCCTGGGCATCCTCAGCCCTGTGTACCTTCGCAGGCCAACAAGACCCCACTGCGGGCACTCGACCCCATCCGCCTCAGTGGCATGAACTGCAGCCCTGACTTCACCCCCTCATTTGCCAACCTCGGCCGGCCCGTCATGGGCAACCGGGGCCTGGTGAGTATCTCCTTGCGTCACCCACACCATCCCCCTTCCGCCTCTCTGTGATGATCAAGCTTTCGAGCCGCTGTGTCTGGGCCCCTGATGTC